ACACACACACACACACACACACACACACACACAAACACACACACACACACACACACACACACATATAGCTCCCTAGTGTGTTGAGACTGGTGGCCTTCGGTGAACAGTCGTTGCTCTCCGACACAGCACACTCGTCCTCGTCTGGACAGAGACATGATACATATACTTGTATGTACATACATAGACATTTATTATACATACACAACACACACACATGTAGCTCCCTAGTGTGTTGAGACTGGTGGCCTTGGGTGAACAGTCGTTGCTCTCCGACACAGCACACTCGTCCCCGTCTGGACAGAGACATGATACATGCAGGTACATGTTTCCGTGTAATAAAAGATACAACTATCGGCTCACCCCTGAGACTCACCAGTGACAGCCCCAAGGTGCTCACGACAGAGCGGTCAAAGCTTGTGGTGCAACTTATCCTCAAATATATCTCTTTAATTTTAATGGGGGAAAAATTCTCGTCCATACTATGCACAGCAGTTTGTATCAATTATTTGTCTTAACTTAATCATATTTTCCCACAACAACCGTGGCCAGATGAAAAAACTTTTCTTCATAAATTAATACAAAATACTATAAATCTCCGTCTCGCAAAAAAAAATTAGAATAGTTCACAGCACTCCCAGCTTCTCACACACATATTTTGTATAAGCATATGGCCTTCTTCATTGCTCATCACTGAAAATTTTTTCCTGGCAAAACTTGTTACAAGAAATTAATTTCATAGTGAATACATTTTAGCTCTAAAGGTTCTAAAAACATGCGTTCAATAAGCATAATGTTACGATTAGAAAAAAAAGACAGATTTGCTTTTAAAAACGATATTGCCCAAGTTGTCAACCTTTTAAAATTGGTAAAAACCACCCTCTTGGATTTTTAAATTTCCATTTATTAAGGAATTTTATAGAATACAGGTAACAGGCATTTACAAAAATATAGATCTGTTAGACAAATTGGTAGAAGTCATTTTACAAAAGCTGGAGAGTCTATGTTTGATACTTTATTAAATATTTGGCAATAAGTTTCTCCACGAATTTTTGCCTGCACTATAGATCTTACCGTGCACAGACACGCCTTCACTAGCTGGCATCTTCACCTTCAGCCGACTCTGCCCCAGCTCGCCGTAAAACCTGCCGAGGGATGATGACGTCATGTTATAAATAGAAATAAAAACGAATAATACAATTCCACTTTTCTTTGATGCCCGTGAGGAAATTTGGTTTACATTGGGGTAACATACTATACATGCATACATAACAAGGTACGTAAATATACATGCGTAACGAAACATAGTGGGTTAAAATAAAATAATAAAATAAAATAATTGCTTTGGGAATGAATGCAGTTTGGGGATGGTATTTTTGTGTCTCAGCTGTGTTTCTTTACAAGAACGAGTAAGCCTGCTATTACAAACTTATTATAGTCGTGCTAAGCACTCACTCACCCTGTACAGTCTAAATAAGGATTTTTGAAACAATTCCCTAAACTGTGAGCCGAACTGTTAGAGCAAATAATTTAAGAAGTAAAACATGAAAGAACGGTAACTCCGTTTGTATCATAAATATCGTTGATCCTTTTCACTATTAAATCCCTTGGTCTTTGTTCCTGATCTTTCTCATGTATGGACATGTATATCAGAATGTGTAGCTCTTGTTATCCATATGTAAGTTGTTGTTGTTGTTGTTGTTGTTGTCGATCCATCAACATCCGGGCTCTTGCCCTTCTGTCCAATGCCATGTAGCAATAAGTGCAGGTTTGCTGCAGTTGCTGTAATGTTCCGTAGAGTGTGTTGTCGAAGTTAGGTCTCGGAGGGAGAAGTGTAGCTCTGCTGTCATTTTGGGCTGTACAGTGGAAAAGGTGATGTTCCACTGTCTCATATGCATAGTCACACAAAAGACACATTGGGGGAACTTATATATGTTCTGCTCGCAGGCGGAAGATCGTGGTCTGTTTCTTTCTCTGTAGGTGGTTGATATTGTCATTTCGTTTTGTTGTAGTCATATGTTTGACAACTGTTCTGCCTGTCTTTCCCAAGGCCCATCTGTTCATCCAATCTTGTTTGCTGTTGCTTTTAAAGATTTGCTTTGCTGTGTTGTATGAAGTTGGAATGTTGGGTTGTTCCTGTCTAGATCCCTTTTTGGCGAGTGTGTCTGCTCTGTCATTTCCAGGAATGTTTGAGTGTCCGGGAATCCAATGCATCACCAGGTTGACGCTACAGGATGTTTGTCAGGTGATGGGAGCCAAACAGTATATGTGTCAGGTCTTCGTTTAGACAATGGCCATTTTCTATTGCTTGCAAGACTGATAGTGAGTCAGTGAAGATCACTATACTCTGTGTTTTGTTTGGATAAGTGTCAAAAACGGTGCGGAGATGGTATAATGCAGTTTCAATTGCTATCATTTCTGCGTCGTAGTTGTTGCATTTCTCTCCACAGGCTGCAGAGATCTCATTGGAACTTCCATCTGGGTATTGTTTTAGTATTCCATATCCGGCTGTGGTTGTGCCTTTGAATGCTGAGCCGTCTGTATAGACTTGTATCCAGTCATCTGAATAGCTGTCGATTGTTTGATGTGATGCGAGCATCAACTTCACTGGGTCTGAAGATTTTGTGCTATTGTCTCTGAGAGAAGTTTTAATGATTGTTTTTTCCATAGAAATATGGGGAGGGATGTTTTGGTTGAGTCTTTTGGTTTCTCTTCTGTTTTGTGGTAGATGGTGGCTCTCCATTAGTTCAGTGATGCGATGCATGACTGATTTTTGTTGAAGTCATTTCTTTGGTTTCTATGTTTCTACTAATTTCCAGTTTGGGTGATGGGGCACATTCTTTTGGTTCTTTCATGGAGCTCCAAAACTGCTTTATCTCTGCGAATTCCCAGGGGTTCAACATTTGACAGAATTTCCCATGCGGCAGTTGGTGTAGATCTCATGCCACCGTTTATGAAACGAAGGGCATTATTTTGGACCTTGTCAAGGGTATTGCAAGTACTTGCACTACACATAGTGAGTAGGCTATTGCTGTATTCCAGGGAAGATCGGACATAACCAAGGTATAGAGCTCTCAGAGTTTGTTTGTCTGATCCCCATTAACTGCTTGCGAGTTTCTTTAAAAGTAGGAGTCTTCTTTTCGCCTTGTTCTCTACGATCTCCACTTGGCTTTTCGTTGTTAGACTTTGGTCAAGTTTGACTCCTAGATACATTGGTTGTTCTTCTTTGGAGAGATTTTCATTTCCTATCTTCAGTTGGAGTCTTTCTTTGGCTGTTTTATGGCTCTTTGTAAAGATGGTGTATACTGTTTTCGAGCAGTTTATTTTGAGCTTCCATTTCTAACAGTAATTGTGGAGCCTCTTGAGGTCTTAATTTAATTTTCCTGCTCCTATTACCGTGCTGTGATGTGTCTGCCAGAGAGCAAGATCATCAGCGTAGAGAGTCTTTTCTGATTGCAGCACGTTCGTCACATCATTAAAGAAGATCAGGAACAAAGTGCAACTCAAACAGGAACCTTGGGGTAGGCCCTCCTCGAGTACTTCTCTTGACTAGTGGGCATTGTTCCCCTTTTTTTCGATGTTTCGATCCGCAAGGAAAAACTTGATCCATTTATAAAGTTTCCCGTGTATCCCGAGGTCCATCATTTTCATGAGAAGGCCTTTTCTCCACACTCTGTCGTGCGCCTGTTGGATATCTAAAAAGACGGCTTGAGTGTGTTTAGTCTCCTGGAAACCATCCTGGATGTCTTGACTTAGTTTGAAAAGTTGATCTTCTGTGTTGCTGCCTTTTCTAAAGCCTGCTTGGTGTGGGTTCAAGCTGTTGGTATTTTCCTGGTACCAGTAAAGGCGGTTGTTTACCATTCTTTCGGCAAGCTTACCATCCTGATCTAAGAAAAGAGTACTATTCTAAATTCTCTTCTGTTTGTGTCATTTCTACTTCGGAGAGTTTGTCGAATAAAATTCCAGAGATTCACATCTGTTAACTTCTGGCTAGTTGAGCTTTGGATAAAGAGAAGCTCGTCGATACAACGGCCATTCAGAGCCATGAAAAAGCTAGACTGCAGGGTGCAAACAGGGCAGGGAGAGTACAGAAGAACCTTATAGAGCCTCTTTGATTCCAACCACCCACTACATCCAACGGAACACTTACACTCAAGAACCAACGACTAACATGAGTGTGTCGCTTTAACAAGAAAATGATCAAATTGTAATAGAATGGGAAACGCAAAGATACCAGTTATCTATTATATTATGTATTATTATTTATGACCATCAGCCGGAGTAACACTGGATGAGACGTGTTATTATAGTGTTATATCATCATCCAGTGCCGGATCTGCGACATACATCGGCGATCATGGTTCTCCGTTCATTCCTTTGCTCTGATGCTCTAAAAAAAGCTACGTTTCTCTGATCTTTCCCTGTTACCCATTTGTTTAGATTCCCCAAGTAGATTGTTCTGGGCCTACCCCTGCCTCGGTTGCCTTCAATTTTGTAAGTGATAGCTAGATGTTCAAACCCTTATGTCTATTCAGGTGTCCCGAAAACTGCATTTGTCGTTTCTGATTGTTTTAAACATTGAGCGTCCCACGTGGGCTTCATCAAGCACTGCTTCATTTGATTTCTTTTCTTTCCACGATACTCTTAGCAATCTTAAAATGTACTTCGATCGTCCTGTTCAAGTCCTCCCAGAGGACGGTAACCCCTGATAAGCACAAGACCAAGCACTTTTTGAAAATGGGGGGGGGGGGGGGGTAAAGTTTATTTTACCTCACCTGTTCAAGTCCTCTCGAAGGATAGTGACCCCGGACCTGCGCACTAGATCAAGCACTTTGGCAATGAGGGGAGGGGGAGGGGGGGGGGGGTTAAAGTTTACTTTGACCCACCTGTTCAAGTCCTTCCAGAGGACAGAGCTAATGTCTTGCAGACTCAAGGCGTCCAGGTAGGTCGCTGACAGGTGGAGGAGGACTTTAGCCCTGACCCCTATGATCTTAGGGTCATCGGATGACCTAGTGACCTCTGTGTGTGCCGGATGGTCAAGCCGTGTGACCTCGCTAGAGACGTAGCGACGGTTTAACCGGGTCCTCTCAAACAGGCGTGCCATCTGTAAGCAGAATGGGTGACTTTGTTGTCTTTTTGCAGTCCCACAGGCTCGTGCTCTGATGCCAGAGCTTAGTGAAGTTACGTCTTGAGGCGAGCAACTTCAAATAACCACGTACACCATGTTTTTATTTAGGTGGTGGTGGTGGTGGCGGTGGTGATGATGATGATGATGATGATGATGATGATGATGATGATGATGATGATGATGATGATGATGATGATGATGATGATGATGAAATACTAGGGTTCTGCAAATTTAATGGGTGGCATAAATATTGTAATACTGAAAACGACAGCACCATCATCTTTTCATTCTTTGGGACTTCTCTTAATCCATACAGTGGTGACTTAAATGTCAAATCAATGCACATCTGATAGGGGTGGGCACGAGACGAGCCGAGTACTCGTTTCTCGCGAGAAATGCCCTTCCCGTCGCTGCCCGGCCACTAAACTACTACCCAGTACCGAGAAGTGATACTGCTCGTTGGCTTGACATAACGAGCAACAGTAACGAGAGTGAGAGAGTGAGAGGCGAGAAATGACAACGCAGACAGTGCCACCAATCACCGTGCCGTCCTGTGTGTGAAACAGAGGGGAGAGGGTGGCGAGACGAGGCGAGCGGGGAGTTGATCAGGGCCTAGGCCTAGATCTCCCTACCTTCCTTCACCGCCTGCGCCTGCGCAACAGGGCTAGCCTAGTTTAGATCCCCACAACGACCGGCCTTCTTGCTAAGCGAGTTGCTCGTACTGTGGGGCGAAAAGAGAAATCTCGGCCACTGCCGGCCTTCTCGCTGAACGAGTGGCTCGAACTGCGGGGCGAGAAGAGAAAATGGTCACGAGATGAGAAGCATTTCTCGAGACACGAGATGAGAAGCATTTCCCGAGACACGAGACGGGAAGTATTTCTCGGTACCGGGACCGGTCCCGGCGAGAAGTAGGTGGGCTTCTCGGTCTTCTCGCTCGGGAAGGAAAAATCGCTTCCCGCCCGTCTCTAACATCTGAGTAGACTACATACATGTAGAGTGAAACCTGCTCTAGTGGCCAAATACCGAAGAAAATCACCTGTGCAAACGACCGCTTCACTATCTGAGCTTTTTCTATAATACAAGGTGATTTTTTAAATACACCAAAATCATCAAGCGATATTTTAAAAACAAAAACAATAGGAAACTCTAGATTAGACACATGTTTTGTACACATCTTCAAGTATTTATTTCATGTTTTACAAGCGCCCATGTGGCCTCCACCGGCAGCACCGACATCATCAAGCCTATACGAGAATTCCTCCCAAACGCGCCTCAAGGTGTCTCGGTCCACCGTTTTGATTGTAGATGTCATTCGATCGCTTATGCCGTCGATATTTGGTGGAAGAGGTGGAACATAAACTTTGTCTTTAACATACCCCCCACAAGAAAAAGTCACACACAGTGAGGTCCGGGGATCTGGCAAGCAAACTGCTGAGAGCGAGGTCTTTAACACCTCTCCTTCCAATCCACTGAGCACTTTCAAAACATGACATAAAAACTTGAAGATATGTAAGTACAACACATGAGTCCTAGCTGGAGTTTTCTATTGTTTTTCGCTTTCGAAATATTGTGAGATGATTTTGGTGTATTCTTTTTTTAATCACCCTGTATAATGACACTTTCCAATGTGTTCATCTGTCTAAGACAACCACTTTTCTCCCCATCAATGGGTGGCCGTCTAGGACAAATTCAAATGCATTTAAATAAAAATTTGTTTTTGTCTTCGTCGGTCATCATTTGTCACAGTCGACTTGTGAAATTTCCAGAAACGTGGCTGTATAGTTAACACCATATTGACAGACGAAAAGAACTTTTTGGCAAACACTGATAAAGGTCAAAGACAAGAAAAAAAATGGAAACAGTAGAAACAAAAACAAAAGCCCCCCCCCCTTCCCTTTCCTATACAACAAACAGTCACATAATCAACAACAAATATAACCTGACATAAAAAAACCCCCAAATAATATCTCCCTCCCCTCCTCAAACACACACATTTATTAAGAATTCAAGGAACAATGGATATAAAAACAAACAAAACTCCCCCC